TGAGTCTCACGATGTTGTAGAAATTATAGCCCTTTTGGAACATATGTTTCTCAACACATTTCATCAATTCAATTGGCCATATCAAAAAGTAAATGAAGATCCGAGTTCAAATCATCACAAATTATTAACAATTAAAATCATAGAAAACAAAATTGCTTCTTCACAAAACCATCTTTCAAAGTAGGGAGAATGATAAAGAAAACTACTCAGAGTTCATGAGAATGATATGAAAAAACATGGATTTCATATATAAAAATAAGTTTACAAAATAATAAGAAATAAAAGACAACTTATCTCACAATGCTTCCTAAGTAAATCCCTAGAAGTTCTCTTCAAGTCTTTCTCTCTTTACAAGCACTCTCAATTCTCTCTTAGAAGTATAATGAAGAAGAAATCTTTCACCTTCCCTCTCCTCTTACAACTCTAGAAGAAAATTTCCAAGCCCTTAACTTTTGCTCTCTATCTTTTCCTCTTGCCATTCACGCCACCCCCCTTTCATGTCACCCACAAACTCCTTGAAGTCTTCCTCTTTTATTTTGGGCTTCCTCCTTTCAAAAGGAAAATCCAAAATTCCCTTCAAAATTCTCTCCAAAAGTCAACCCTTTTATATTCAAAAGACATGTTGATTGATCCAAAGGACATATCACTCCATGGGGCATTTAGAACAAGTGTCCCTTTCGAAATTTGTGCAAAATTCATCCCGAACCGCCTTAATCCGTAAAAAGCATCTCTCGAGCTTTAGGCGCTGGTTCTAGCTCTTCAGGTGCCAACTTGCTTAGGACCGTGTTGTTCTGGGTTTTGGCGCTTCAGACGGCAAATCTGGTGCTTCAGGTGCCAGCTCTCTGTCAAATGGCGCTTAAGGCGCCAGAATCCCAAAATTTGTTGTTTTTGCTCTAAATTTCGTCTTTTTTGCTACTTTTGCTCCAAATGCCTAAAATTGATATACCTGCAACAAAAATATGAAAATAGTGAAATATCACCAAAAATTAGCAAAAATTGTATACTCAAAACAACATATTATTTTGGTGTATCACCTGCACAGGGTTGTTTTGTTAAGAGACAAGTAGACCAATCAGATGGAGAAAAGAAAGGAAGAGATGACTTTACTATACAATATAAGCCCTAACTCGCTTTAGAATACCGAGGTTGTCATTCGTCGTGACCTAAATCCTCACATCTTCCAGGCTATTTGTGTGATCATTTCACACGGATGTAAGCCCTAATTAAAAAAATTGGCAGGATAACACACATAAATTCTTCTTGAAATTGATGCCAAACCATAGGGTAGTTTTGGGAAGTCACCGAGGCTCTTTTCAGGATCTATGACATCCTCTAGTTCTTCTTCCTTTGGTTTCCAAAAATAAAATGTCCCAAATTTGAGTCATTCCCCTTTCACACCTCTTTGTCTGATCTCTTTGAAAAGTCCTATCCTTTGAAATTCTTGAAGACAATATTCTCTGATATTTATCGAGAGTTTTCTTAGGTGACTTCAGTTATCTAAGTTGTAATTAACTATAACGGCTTGCCTTTATAGAAAACTTTCAAGAACCCAGCTTGATATAAACCATATTTAATTCTTTGTATTAAATAGGAGAATTTGTAGGTCAACATAAAAGTGGTTTCGCAGACTTAAACATATGTCATACAATCTTTAGTTTATTTAATCGAGCATTCACCAGTAAGTAGCACATTCATTCTTCGGGATGGATGCATTGCTTGAGGTGAAAGGCTCATTTATTTAAACTACTGAGGATATGAGATCAGTTCAGTCTTGTATTTTCAAAATTTAAAACACTACTTTTCCCAAATTATATGTATATAAATTAAATTAAATCGGGTGTTGGGATACTCATTCCAGCGACTGACAACTTCAATCTCCCAACCAACTTTTAGTGCTAACAATTGTTATTGATTGTGGATGTTTAGGTGTGAGAGTGGATTGTTTTGTTTTTAGTGTATCATGAGGGAGGTGACTCCTTAACTTCTCGTCATGGCCAGACTTGCGTATGTTCTTTTGTAGTTGTTGTATTGACGAGTCCACTATGACTCAACTCTCAATCAGACTTGAGTATTACTAGAGGCATGCTGATTTGGACATTGGACAAATCTATCTCAATTATGTTACTTCCTTTATCTGACCTTATTTTCATTGAGTAGGGTTATGAACCTACTTGATGAGTAACATGAGGATGAACTTAAAATTATTCGTGTGAGTATTTCTATGTCGAATATTATCCCAAAAAAGTACAATATGTTTATTAAAATTAATTACAACTTTCATTACAGGAAAATCCAAAAATGGCTAAATTTCGTCCCCATCCTTTCCCTAGATCTAACATATTTGAGAAGAGTTGTGCAAAAAACATTGCAATTGGTACCAGTGCTCGAGGTCCGTGCAAGCCCACTGTTAAATATTTTGTGGTTCAAGGGAAACTACAGTAGAAGTTGTTGATGAATTATTATCTGTGCAAGTTCATAACTTTTATGATCGATGTAGAAGCAAATGAGACCTTTCTAGGCATGGAGATCAGTGTTGAACCAAAAATGAAACAAATATTGTCACGTAACAGTGGAGATACACTTTCTGGGGAAAAAATGGTGAGCATGTAACGAAAAGTAAAAAATGCCTTGACAAGTCTCCGATGAGAAATTTACTAAAGAAGCTAGGTGCAAATGATTCAAAAACAAAGGAGGCATTAGATCGTCATTGCCTGTACATGATGTCTGAATGCTTGGGAAAGCTTAGAAGTTTAGAGAAATATCAACATAAGCTATATTGTTGTGCAAGAGGAATTGATATAAAACCCAAAAAATAAAGTAATATTAATCACTTGGGATGGAGAATTTTACGTTCGTGGATTAAGTATATGCTCAGTTGTCACCAACATTATTATGCATGTCCAGCCTGGTTGTAGCAGTTTAAATTAATTCCTTACAATGTTATTTGAAGTATTATCTTTTATTTCTTATTTTATTTTGGAGTTATTATTCATTTAGTTTGGAGTTATGTTATAGTTGTTTTTCTTGCTTCGTAGAGTTCTTTCATGTATTATCCGTAGAGTCCTTTCATGCATCTTTTATTTATTATGTTGTAGTTTAGATTTATGTTTTAGTTTGGAATTTGGAAATAAATGTTTCCAGTGTTAACACATCCATCAATTTCCTATATCAATTTAAACTCATAATGTGATTGCATGTGCAATATTGGACAATTTTATTGGTGGCCACCATGAGCATTATTTTTATTTTAATATGTCACAAATTGAGATGAAACATGCCACTCAATACTGTGAGGTGGAAAACAATGATGAAAATCCTATTTTTCATGCAATAGTTGGTGAAAAACTTAAAGGGGAAGTTGTAAGATGCAATTGCTAACAACTTTTTGCAAAGCACATGTAAGACTCAATATTAAGTAAAATGTATTTATTTTTCCTATAAGTAAACTATTTACTAATGCTCAATTTTATTTTTTATTTTTCACATGAAATGAGACGAAGACATTGATTTGCTCCATAAGGATGATCATATCCTTTATTGTATGGAGTTGTGGTAGTCAACTATTCTGTTTACTACCATCACGGTTGTCCTCATTGTTGTGGATTTGCTACATTTTAATAATTAGTTTTATACATCTATTTATGTAATTTTTGACACTATAACTTGTATGTTCTCATCATATAATTGTGTCAGTAGGCACCAATCTTTTTGAACTTGGCTTTGTTGAAGTTTTGTAGGCACTTCAATTCTTTTTTTTTTTGGAAGATTGTTGTTGGATTTTATATCTATAATATTTGTTGGATATTTTATTTTCTTATGCCTTATTATTATTAAATCATGGCTTTTGTTTCAATCGTGTTTTTGCAGTAAATCTTGCTAAATCCTATTAAAGCTGCCAAAATTTTTTTTCAAGATTTACTTCAAGATTTACTTCAGGAATTAGCCACCACAGAAATTGTTAAATCCTTATTTCCAGTCCTACTTGAAATAATCCTACTTGCAGTCAATCAGCCGCTCAAAGCCGGCCGTTTGAAGGCCAAGGCAGTGCTTGATCTGCTCTCTTTTACTGGATTGACTTTCCTAGGCCAAAGGAGCACATATCGGCGATCAGTGGCCATTCTGCTCTCCCGGTCGGCAATGGCTGAGGTGCTTTCGACGCTAGCTAAGGTTTATCTTCTTTGTATTCCCTGAAGCTCCGGTGCTGGCGGTATTCCATCAATCCTTTCTCTGTTACCGAGTCGCCTCACCTCCTCTCCCCTTAAGACTCAATTTGGTTTCGTTGGCTCGTTGGAAATGTCGATCTCTGGGGACCCGGCCTGGGCCGGGAAGAAGATCTCGAAGAGGCTTGGAGGAATGGCTGAAGCCCTCTCCATCGCAACTGATCTAGGGTTCTCTATCCCTCCTGTTGAGGTTTGAGTTTGCTTTCTCATGGATCTATTTCTTGACAGTTTCCTATCATTCCTCTTCCTCTTCTTCTATATAATTCAGTTCATATCAATTGAAATTTTGGATGATGGAACTACATAGCAAGGCAGCTTTTTGTACCTTATACTGTATTGTATTCGTGATAAAAAAAAAAGAAGATATTTTCAAACGTGCAATCGTGATTTGAACCTAATTCTCCTAAATATTTAATGAGAAACTTGCGGTGGAACTTGCTGGAAATATTGAAGCTAGAATAGTCCGCAAACCGTTGGAGCTATTTTGCTCCCTGTTGATTATTATTTAATTAGACTTCTGACTATTAATCAGTTATGCATATTTCTGATTGTGTTACTTATCAAACTGTTTTTTAAATAAATTGAGTAAAGAAAATTATGAGAATGCTAATTTTCTGCTTCTAGATTTAAAATATTATGCTTTTTAGATGATTGTATCTGAATAACTGTTGATGAGTGGAAATCAGAACATACTTCATTTCTCCAGTTGATCTCTAGTGCACGCATGCACATATGTGATATGCTTGTCATATTAAACTATTACATCTGCTTATCTGTATTTTTCAGCCGGCACATGCCTTTTTAAAAGTTCCTCTATTGTTGAAACGTTATTAGCAGTTTAAGCATATTCATCATACGTTTGACAGGAAGAGCTAAAGTCTTCTTCAAGCTCCTCTAGTGACAAAAGTGATGACTTGATTAGGGTTTTAAGAGAGCTTACTGTTGTTCAGAGAAATATTGCAAATTTGCAAGTCGAACTTCAAGGAAGGAAGGTGATATAATATTGTTTATTTGACTTCTGTTTTTCTTATTATGGTAATTCTATAACAGCTTGATTATATTACTAGCAATTTTTTTTTCTTCTTGAAATATTTGCGTGGAACTGACCAGGATGATAAGAATGTGGCACATCTTACTCATGTGAGCGAAATGGAGAAGAAGTGTGAGTCATTGGCTAGAATTACAACAATACTGAAAGGTGTTATCCAAAATAAGGTAGATTTCTGTCAGAAAATAATTGTTTTTATGAATATTCACTTTAATACCTTCATATGCTGAAAGATAACATGCTTTATTTTGCCAACCCATGATATTTCCTTTACATCAGCATTCCGTTTCTGTCATGGATTTTAGTTTTGGCGTGGTCTACTCCATTCGAAAGTAATAGCTATGATAGAACTTGAATTTTTTGACTTGTCTAGTTGGGAAAAAAATAGAAATTTGGGAGTAAGAGCGGATCAAGGTCCACATTTTACTTTCATAAATATTAATTCATTTAAGAAAATATCACTTGCATGAATGTTCTTTCCCATTCTTGATAATTTACTTAGCAGACCCAAAATAGAAAATTAAGTTGAACTACAAGAAAAAAAAAATATTTGGATTCTATCATAAAAGAAGGAATCTAGACAAGAAAAATATATAATCTTGGTGGATCCTATACTGTAATCAAGTAAAGATTTTTCTTTTTTTTTCTTTTCTTGCATTATACTTCTAGAAAAAGGCTTTATAATTTTTGATGTATAGAAAAAGGCTTTATAATTGTTGATGTTTGTGCTGATTATTTTGAGTATTGGGTCTTCTGAATGAAAATTCGTTGAATAAGGATTCTCTTTTTTTTCAGAGATAAGTAGTGTTATTTCTCCAAAATATTAGGATCAATGCAATGTAACTTGCATGGCATGAGAACTACAGCAATTCCTACATTGATAAGATAGGATTGATGATGTCTTTTCCTACCAATGATAATTTCATGATTTAGGTTGTCTCCAACATCATCATATTTTGTGTTGCACAAACGCAGTTGGAGAAATATTTCGTCATGCATCATTTGTGCATGAAGCCCTAGGGTATTCTGTTTTTTATGGTGAAATTGGTATTGAATTAGTCATTGAAGGAATAACCAAGACCATTGAAGTGAAGTTTGTATTGCTTTTTCTTGTTTCATTTCTGTTTTTTCATTTAGCCAGCAGACATGCCAAAAAGGAAAAATGACTCCATTTCTAATTTTAGTTAGAGGATATTTTTTACTTTTAGTACTAGATGAAACACAGTAAATAAACTTTAATTTGAAGGTGCAATTGGCTAGTAAAACCTCTTAACATCAATATCTATGCTAGTATTTAAGCGAGGTGATGATTCCATTGCATCCACATTTAGTGATAATTTCTTTATTAGAAGTTGAGGTCCAAAATGGACTTTGGTGGAAAACATTTAGTTGCATAGAAATCAAAACACGATCATCCTGAACTATATGAATCAACAATGAGCTTCTTTAAGAACATTATGAATGTCTTCTTTTGTATTAATTTTTTTTTGTTTGATGTTTCCATGAATATCATATACATGTAAGTAAAATACTTACTAAATTTGAAAAATGAGCATTTTTTGGGGATGGCATGAGATCAATATGTTATGAAGGATGTTCCATGGCCAACTTCAAATGTGTACTTTTTTGTGTAACTATTATTAAAATTATTGCAATATGATATTACTATGGAGAAGATTAATTTTCAATTGTCTAAATGGTCTCTAGAAATATCTCAATGGAGATTTGCAATACTGTTGACTATCTTAAATTGATTATTGGTTTGTTGATGAATGTACTGAAAGTGTTTTGTCCTAGAGCTTCTGGGGTAAAGGTGTTTTGTCTAGATTTTATGTTATCATTGACAAAGGCCAGTTAGAATTAGAACTAAACTCCTCAATAAATCTCCTGTAAAGAGTAATGATCACAAGGGAACTTCAAACAACGGAGATCGATATTGCTTCTGCCAATCTTTAATGACTTGAAATAAATTTGCTGTTATCATGCCAAAAAAAAAAAAAAAAAAAAAAAAAAAAAGGGAAGATCACCTATGATTCTAAAATTAAAATGGTGTCGAATTGGCATATAATTTTTCTCATTATAACGGTTTGAAGTACTTAATGAAGATGAGATTAAGTGTGATTGCTATATTAAATACCAATCAACCTGTCATCAAAATGAACCATAAATGTTTTGTTCATGTACAAATGTGGACTTTGGGTTCCATAACTCTAATAAATGTGATGGTTGCACAAGGAAGGCCACATGGTTAACCACTTGTCTTTTGAATTGATATGAATTTAATAATATCCGACACAAGTTCATTTATCAAATACTATTGAGACCAAAACATAATAATCGGGGATCTATCACCTAAAAAGGTTTGGTAGAACCATGCTTATGATTTTATAAATGACGCAATGAAATTATGCTACAAATAGCCATCTTATTTAGATGTTAGTAAAGAAGGAATGATAGATGGAGTTAGACTTCCCCTTATTGAAACTCTTATCTAGCAATTATTCAACTTGCTTTCTAGATATTCTTTGTAATCCATCATATATTGTACGAGGCATGGGAGTTTGGATTTTACAATAAGTAAGACAATGTCTGGTTGGATGATTCATAACACCTTATTGCTTTTGATGCCACTAAAGATGGACTGTCCTAAATATATTTCTTAGCAATTAGGGCTAGGTCCAATCCAAATTGTGATCATCTTTCTCAAACATTGTGTTCTTTAATGATTCAAGTGGCTAAGCTAAGTTTTTGTTTATAACTAGTTCTTAAGGATTATTTGAGCTCACTTGAATGGTCACTTAATTGCATGCTGTTTATCTCTATTGTAATGATTCATTTTTTAAGGCATGGGAAAAATTTACATGTAATATGCTACGTCATTTCATGCCAAAATAACTACTTAACAAGATTTCTATTAGACACTTTTATTTAGTAAGGTGGTCTTTTTGAACATATTTAAAATACTTAGGATATGTTTTTTATATTTTTCTTATATGCTCTATCTTGGCAGCTAAGTGTGGTGGGCTACATGACCCCCTTTTCTCCATTGCGTCTTATTGAGTGTCATAATTTCATTTAATTCTAATAGATTAAGATCATTCTTTATACAATATGCCTAAGTCTTTTTAGATCTACATCTGCTTTTCTTAACATAAGTCAAATCTAAAACATCTACTCTCCTAACGAGATCATTAGATAGCCGACGTTTAATATGACCAAACCATCTAAGACGATTCTCTCTAATCTTGTCTGTCATTGGAGCTACACCAACCCTATCATGGATATATTCATTTCGCACTTTGTCTCGAAGTGTTAAGCCACTCATCCACCTAAGCATTCTCATTTCAGCAACACTTAACTTTGTTTTATGCTTCTCTTTTAAGGGCCAACATTATGTGCCATAGAGCATTGTAGGTTTCACCATCTTATAGAATTTTTCTTTTAATCTAAGCAATATTTTCTATCACACAATAGGCTTGATGCATTCCTCTACTTCAACCAACCAACTTAAATTCCACTAATAACATCCACATATATATCACACTAACACTCAAATCTAAAACGTTCTCCATAGTTACAACTCAACCAATAGAGCTACTATTATTAGAATTGCATTCTATGTATTCAATTTTAAATCTACTCAAACGAAGGCCTTTAGACACTAATCTTGACCTCCATAATTCAAAATTTTCCTGAACCCTTTCTCTAGTCTTTTCCACAAGAAGGATATAATCAACAAACGTATACACCAAGGAACATCCTTCTATAAATGTTCAATAAGAGCATCCATAACTAAATAAAAAAATAAATGGGCTTAAAGTCGATCCCTGATGTAATCTAACTGGAATAAGAAAAATATCTGGTCAATCCTCCTTCTGTTCGAACACAAGTAACAACTGATCTGGTATACATATCTTTAATGGCTTGAATACATGTCATATTGACTCCTTTTTTTCTCTAGAACTCTTCGAAAGATATCTCTTGGAAATTTAACGTAAGCTTTTTCTAAGTCATTTGTAAATCCTTCTTATTCTCTCTATACTTCTGCATCAAACCACTCAATAAATTCATAGCTTCCATAGTAGACCTATCGAGCATAAATCCAAACTGATTATAAGAAAGCTTTGTATCGCGCCTTAACCTATGCTCAATTACCCTCTCTCAAAATTTTTAAAGTATGACACATCAGCTTAATTCCTTTATAATTTGCATACTCTTGTGCATTCCCCTTATTCATAAAAATGGGGATTAAAATACTCTTCCTCCACTCTTCGTGCATCTTTTTAGTTTTTAAAATAATATTGAAAAGTTTAGTAAGCCAAAACACTCCCAAATATCCTAAATATTTTCATACTACAATTGGGATATCATCAGGTCTGGTTGGTTTTCCTTAAAGCCCCTTCAACTTCTTTTTTACTAATGCGATAGTAAAAATAAATCTTTTTATTTTTATTAACAAGATTAAGATCATTAAGGTCAATCTTATTTTCAGAAATTTCATTGAAATATTTATTAAAATAGCTTACTCACCTATTTTGAATATCTTCCTTTAAGAAAAACACTTTTTGATTTTCATCTTTCATTCACTTTACTTGAATTAAATCTTTTCTTTTCTTTTCTCTTTGTTGACTAGTTTATACATATATTTTTCACTCTCTTTAGTATTTAATCTATTATAAAGATAACTACAAACAAAATTTTTAGTGTCACTAGTTATTCTCTTAAACTGCCTACTGGTCACCTTATATTTTTCCCAATTCTCTAAGCTTTTACATTTAAACCAATTTTTATAACACATTTTTTTTTTTTGCACATTATTATTACAACAAATATTTTTATTTATAAAAACTTTTCCTTTTGATTCTCCAAGTATATCTTTTTATCTCTTGTTTAATAGTGTTTGCTACTTTATTCCACATAAAATTCACTTCTTCATGAATATCCCAAATCTTAAAATCTTGAAGTTTATCCATAAAAATAATTTTATTTGTCTTTTAAGCGCCCCCATTTAATTTTATAATAACGTTTCTTGATATTCTTTATCCTACAATTCTTTATTTTAAAATTCAGAACTGATAATCGATGTTGAGTACTTAAATTTTCACTTGGAATGACTTTACAATGTTTACACTTTTGACGAGTTCTTTTTCTCGTAAGAAGATATTCA